AGGAAAGAGGTAGAGAAGGAAAGAAGGAAGGAAGGAAAGAGGGAGCAAAGGAAGGAGGGGAAGAAGGAGAGAAAGAGGGAGGGGAGGTTGGCCACAGCAACGCGTGACGGGTACAGCTAGTCCTTCTATAATAATCTGTGTCCCCACTTCCCAGATAGATTCGTATGTATGTATGTCACTTGTTTCCCCCGATATTTGGACTCGAGGCAATTTTCAGTTTAAAGAGCATTACAGCTCATCACAATGACAACGTTGAATTAGCTATTCATAAAATTAAAACCATTCAACCCCACGCTTCATAAGATAAAATGCAACTGAATGGATAAAAAGCAATGAAAAACAATTCCCCCTAAAGAGCACAGCACCCCTAACCCTTCCTTTTAAAATGTTCTATTTTAGGAACCTTTTGGAATATGTTGAGGGAAGGGTAGTGGGGAAGGGTCATTGAGAAAGGAAGAAAGGTCTTTGGGATAATGAGGAGGAGGATTACTATTATTATTTCTCACTTGCCTCTGCTTATGGCTCCAGGCGCGGAAAGAGGAGAAATCTTCCGTTAGCCATGCTCCCCTGTATTTCAACCCAGCTACACTCCTCCCAATGAGGCCACGGGGGGGGGGGGGGGGGGGGGGGGGGGGAAGAGTTTTGGGGATATACGGACAGTCTCAGCCGGAGCTGCTCAGGCAGCATCTCCTTCTGGGGTTCAGAGAGTTCAGCCTCCCTCCAGGTTTTTTGGACTTCAACTCCCGCTATTCCTACCAGCCTACCATAGGAGGGATGAAGTTTGCTCATGCCTTCCTTAGGGCTTTCGTTCATATGGATCATTCCATTCTATTCCGAGATTGGAGGGTTGCGCTATGAAAAGGAGACCAGGTTGAGAAGGAGAGCTCCCGCTATCTCAGGACTGTGTGCTGCCACTGCGCATTGCCTGCCCTGCTCTCTGAATCATTCCCCTTTGTTGTTGTTGTTCATTCGTTCAGTCATCTCCGACTCTTCGTGACCTCATGGACCAGCCCACGCCAGAGCTTAGGATCATAGAATCATAGAGTTGGAAGAGACCACATGGGCCATCTAGTCCAGCCACATTCTGCCATGCAGGAAAAGCACAATCAAAGCACCCTTGACAGATGGCCATCCAGCCTCTATTTAAAAGCCTCCAAGGAAGGCGCTTCCATCACACTCTGGGGCAGAGAGTCCCACTGCTGGACAGCTTGTACAGTCAGGAAGTTCTTCCTCATGTTGAGGTTGAATCTCCTTTCCTGTCATTGGAACCCAGTCTCCAGGGCAGCAGAAAAGAAGCCCCCTGCCTCTTCTTTTTGACACCCTTTCACATATTTATACATGGCTCCTCTCATGTCTCCTCTGAACCTTTTTTTCTGAGGCTAAACAGACCCAGTTCTTTAAGATGCTCCTCAGAGGGATTATTCACGGTCTCCAGACCTTCTATCATTTTACTCTCCCCCTTCTCTGGACACCTTCCAGCTTATCAATATCTCTTTTAAACTGTGGTGCCCAGAATTGGACACAGTGTGATTCCCAGTAAAGATGTCTGACCAAAGCCAAATAGAGAAGCACCATGACTTCCCTCGGTCTGGGCTCTAGACTCTTTCCAATGCAGGCCAAAATCCCATTGGTTTTCTAAGCTGCTGCCTCACACTCTTAGCTCATGTTCAACTTGTTGTCCACCAAGACTCCAAGATCTTTCTCACATCTAACTCTCTTGTGGAGCCAGGTGTTCCTCATCATGTATCTTTGCATTTCCTTGGGGTTTTTTTTCTGCCTAAGTGTCAAATCTTCCATTTGTCCTTGTTGAGATGCATTGTGTTAGTTTTGGCCAATTGGCTGTCTAATCTGTGAAGGTCAGCCTGGAGTATTAGCTCTCCCTCCTCATTTGGTCCCATCTGCAAACTTGATTAGCAGGCCTTTTAACCTTCAATCTAACCTTCATGTGCCTTCAAGTCAACTCTCAACTTATGGCTTTTCTCTCTCTCCTGGTGTTTTCTTGGCCAGATTTATTTCAAGGAGGTCTGCCCTTTCTTCCCTCAGAGGCTGTGGCTGAGGCTGAGGGAGGATGGCCTCCCCAAAGAGCTCCATGGGGTTCTCATGACTGAGTAGCATTTGAACCCCGAACTCCACCAGAGCCCCAGTCCAGCACTAGTGCCACCATTGCGGCAGATCCCTGCTGGTTTCCTTTTCAGGTGGCTTGATGCTTTTGTGCACAAACAAACACACAGAACTCCGGGAGGCTGGGGTGCCAACACTTTCTTTTCAGGATCCCATGTAGGAGGTGCTCTTACATAACTAAAGTGAGGGGAGGCTCTGGTGGAGCCAGATGTCCAGAAATAAAGGAAAACCTGGGTGTTTGGGGAAGAGGGGATAGGGATCTCATTTTGGGCTGAGTGTATTTTCCCCTGGCCCATCATTCGAAGAGTTTTCAAAAAAGTGGTTCTGTGTTGGGGGGCCCAGACTTTCTCACCTCTGTCATGAATGACTTTTCAATAACTTTGAAGCATAGGTTCTTTTTCTTGCAATTTCCAGTGTGAGAGAGTATATCAGATTACAGAAACATTTAGATGAAGAATGACCTTGGACATACAGATTCCATGCAACTACACTGGATTTAAAATTACATTGGTTAACAAACAAACAAAGGGGAATTACATTTTCACTCAACATTCACACGCATTCATCCACATGCAACATGTACACGCATTCATCCACATGCATCCAAAGTATTACTATATCCTTTTCTCCCTCCTTGGAGAAGCACCTCTTAGGCCAGACCCTGCTTTCCTGCAGCCTGCCAATGTATAGTTCCATAACGCCGAAATGCCGAAATGCCAAAACTTCTTTCCCTAAGAACAATGCCAAGGACCATATCTTTGTTTTCCATACAGCAGAACCTGACTCTCTGCACAAAATCTAAGACTCCAAAAGCATACTTCTTCCTCTTCCCTTGAGAAAGAAGCCCCAGAGTGACCAGACTGCTCCCGTGCAGATCTGCCACTCTCCGAATACACCATCTCTGTCCTTCCCATGGAGCAGAGCATGGCGGGTGAACCAGACTCCTCAGGTCGGTCACAATCGAGCATTATTAGACTGAGACTTTTATAGGAATATTCTGTTGATGTCATCCCAAAGTTGTAAATCAATGATAGACGTCTTCCATCCTGGATCCATCTCAGTTTCCTGGCCAGATGTGGATCTTCTTGATTGGTGTTGACAAACACAAGGCTTGTGTTAACTTCCTTCTTAACATAAGTAATGTTGCAAACATTTCCTTAACTTGAAAGAACAATTGTCACAGTTCTTATCAATTCTCATTAGCAGGTTTTGATCACAGTTCCAGCAAGCAGGTAGTTAGTCATTGCAGGCTTTAATATTTTACTGGTGTCTCCAAAATTATTAACTCCAACCACACATTCTTTCATTTATTCCCACATCATATTAGAATCATAGAATTATAGAATCATAGAGTTGGAAGAGACCTCATGGGCCATCCAGTCCAACCCTCTGCCAAGAAGCAGGAATATTGCATTAAATTCATATTTGTCAAATCTGCACATTGAATTTCTTGTGACACCTCCGGCATTCATTCGGATTCTAGGGCCAGCTCCTTCCCTTTTCAGTCCTGGCGAATTGGTGCTTTGGGAATGGGTGCTTTGGGACTGGCAGCAGTCCCCAGTTGGATGGGCAGGATGGGGAGAGGCCCCAGGGCAGGCTTTGGCTTTCTTCCTCATCCTGGAGCTTTGGCTTCTGAACCTAACTGCGGAGTGGCATGCAGTGTAGCCAGTGTGGCATAGGAGCTTACGAGCATTTCTACCCGGCATTGCCCGGCCTTGAATTTTCTTTGTGACTGTTTCTGTTCTTTCTCCCTTTCCCGCATACACCTTGCCCTTCTCCCTTTTCTTCCTTTCTTTTCTTCTCCCCTTGCTTTCCCTCATACACATTCCCACTCTTTCTTTTCTCTTTCTTCCCTTGTCTTCGCATATATTTCTTTCTTCCCCCCATTTTTCATCCCCTTCCTTCCTTCCTTCCTTCCTTCCTTCCTTCCTTCCTTCCTTCCTTCCTTCCTTCCTTCCTTCCTTTCTCTTCCTTCCCTTTCTTCATAGCTTTCTTTCATGCAGTCTTGTCTTGGAAGTCAGTATCTCAGCCTCAGAGCAAGGTGCAGGCACGCAAACACATACACCCTTTCCGAAATATAAATCTTCATGAAATTGCTGCGTATATGTGCCTGCTATGGCCTTCAGGGCTGTGGATTTCCCTTATTGTGGCCATTGTAATTGCCAGTGGCCAATCCTTTCTATCTCTCGTCTACTCTCGTGTGGTTGCACCTGAGCATTACATACATACAGACTTGGAGGCCAGAAGCTAATCCTTATCTATATACTTTTGGGAGGCCTTGTGCCAAAACAGGATGGATTTTTCTTGTTGATATCCTACAATCATTTTAAGCTGGATAAGGAAGGCTCTGTGTGCCAAATTTGGTCCAGGTCCATCATACCATGTAGGAGACTTTGTAATACAAACAACCAACATACATACAAACTTTGACTTAACTATATATGGAATGGTAGGAAACAGGAGAGAAAATATGCAGGATGTCCCGATAGGATTTTTAAAAGGCAAAAAACTTACTTTTATTGTTGCAAGTAATGCATCCCAGATAGAAAAGAAGATGGACAGAAGAAAAGATGGCAGTACAGTCCCTAATGCTGACTCTTATGTCTGCGTACAAGGGAGTTTGAGGCACTCATGGTGCCCCCTTCACAAACAAAAGGACAAAAAAAGCACACTAAAGATTTTTGGGAGGAAGCGGGAAGTGTTTTGCAGGCAGGAAGCAAAACACCTTGAGTTACGTAGATCTAGGAAGTGCCCCAGGGTTGCCTCTGTCCCTCATTGGTCCCTGTAGATGAGTGTTAATGCTGCTTCCCTTCCACCAAACCCACCGTACCATCCTTTGCCTCAGCCACTCTGACCTTTCCTGTTGTGCTGGTTTGCAGGTGAAGATGAGAAATTTGCTGCTTCCCTAATGGACGGGAAATTTCCCCGGAGCACCTCCATGCAAGACACTGTCAGAGAAGGGCACGGCATCCCTCCCCCGCCCCAGACCGCTCCTCCCCCTCCGCCCTCCCCCTATTATTTCGACACGGCTCCGCCCCCGTCCTTCTCCCCCCCTCCGCCCCCAGGAAGAGTCTACGACACGATCCGGTCAAGCTTCAAGCCGGGCCTGGAGGCCAAGCTCCACGGCCTGCCACAGGTCATCAGCGCGGCCGAGATGTACGACCAGGCCAGGACGGCCCTCCCGTACCCCGAGCGGCAGAAGCGGGCGCGCTCCATGATCATCCTGCAAGACTCCTCGCACCTCCCCGTAGAGCCCACCGACATCCCCCGGCCCGGCCCCTCCGCCACGCCCCCCGAGAAGCTGAAGCGCAAAGGCCGTGGGACGGTGGACAACCCTTATGCCAACATGGGTCAGTTCAACGTCAGCCTCTTCGCTCCCGCCAAGCCCCAGAGGAAGAAGAGCCCCCTGGTCAAGCAGCTGCAGGTGGAGGACGCCCAGGAGCGGGCAGCCCTCTCCATGGCGGCGGTGGGGGGCTTCGTGCGGGAGCCGTCCCCCACCCGGCACGGCCACCGCCTGAGCGGCATGGAGTACCAGCCCCATCACCAACAGCAGCCGATGGACGCAGGCAGCCTCCCCTTCGCCACAGCCATTGCCGGGGCGATGAAGGACCGAGACCGCCGCCTGGACGAAAGGCGGAAATCCACTGTCTTCCTCTCCGTGGGGGCCATCGAAGGGAGCCCCCCAACCATAGAGATGCCATCCCTGCAGCAGTCGCGGTCCATCGACGAACGGGTGCTGGGGAGCCGGGATGTGCTCCTGCCTTCGCCTGTCTCAGCTTTAAAGCCATTAATCAGTAGTTCCTCCTCCACCTTCATCCACCCACTCACCGGGAAACCCCTGGACCCCAACTCGCCACTGGCGCTTGCGCTGGCCGCAAGGGAGCGGGCGCTTTCCACCCAGGTCCCCTCCCGAGTGCCCACTCCCATCCACAGCCCAGACTCAGACCGCGTGGCACCCCTATTTGTGGACATCCAGACCAAAGAGCAAGAGCGCGGGGAGCTGGAGGGCCTCATATCGCCTGCGTACTCGCCTGGAGCCAAGGCGCCAACACCAAGCGCTTTGACCCCGACGCAGAGCCACTGGGGGATGCCGATGATTGCGAGGAAAGAGGGGGAGGCGCGAGCCGAGACACCTGTCAAGGAGGAGAGGAAAGCGGAAGACAGGAAGTCGATGATCATCAGTATAGTGGACACGTCGCTGCAGAAGACGGCGGGTCTCATTATGGTGCACGCGACGAGCAACGGCCAAGACTTAGGACTGGATATGAAGGAGGAGAAGATGCCTGTCCCAGAGGGAGGCCCAGAGCCGGGCGAGCTGTCCGCCACAGAGGCTCAGCCCAGCCCCATAGGAAAGGCCCCCGTCAGCCCCGCCTCGGACAAAACCCTAGGGCAAGGCAGCTCAGAAGAGGAAGTGGAACCCTACACGGTGACCCTGCCCCCCGCTCAGCTGTCTTCGAGCGACGAAGAGACGAGGGAGGAGCTGGCCAAGATTGGTCTGGTGCCTCCCCCAGACGAGTTTGCAAACGGAGTCCTGGTCACCACCCCAGGCACACCCATCAGCCAACTGGCCGCTCCAGCAGTTGCCACGCCATCCCTACCAGCGGCAGCAGTAGCATCTTCTACCACTGGTGGAACACCCTCAGGGAAGCCCTCTGATGCCCCCACGGCCCCCGAGTCTGCCGCGGACTCCGGAGTGGAAGAGGTGGACACCAGAAGTTCAAGCGACCATCACCTGGAGACCACAAGTACCATCTCCACCGTCTCCAGCATGTCCACGTTGTCCTCTGAGAGCGGGGAGCCCACCGACACATACACTTCCTTTGCGGATGGACAAACTTTTATACTCGAGAAGCCGCCAGTGCCTCCAAAGCCAAAACTCAAGTCCCAGCTCAGCAAGGGGCCGGTTACTTTCAGGGACCCGCTTTTGAAGCAGTCTTCGGACAGCGAGCTCATCGCCCAGCAACACGCGGCCATCCTGGCTTCCGCCAGCGTCGGCCGGCCACGCTACCTCTTTCAGCGAAGGTCCAAGCTGTGGGGGGACCCCCTGGACAGCAGGCCGATCCATGGGGCTGAGGATGACAAACCAACTGTGATCAGCGAGCTGAGCTCCCGGCTGCAGCAGCTGAACAAGGACACGCGCTCTTTGGGGGAGGAGCCCGCCGGGACTGTGCTGGACCCTGGGAAGAAGTCGCCCGTGGTGGCCGCACGGTAAGACGGAGGGGCGTTGGGCAGAGAGGCAGCCCTGGCCAAATAGAAGCAGTCCGTGGGGGTGGATAGTCCTGGAGCGCTAAAGGGACAGCAGGGAGGAAGTCTCCAGGGATGATGAGAAGAGGAGGGGGGAAAGGCTGAGGACCCCCACCCGCACAGCCCCTCTCTCCTCAACTTCTTCCCTGTTCCTTGAACGTCTGTCCAGACCAGCACTCTTCTTCCAGGTCTCATTTCTGTCCCTCAGGGCGCTGTCACTCTAGAACACCAGTACAACGGTTAGTGATTCCACATTAATTGCTATAGCAACATCCTATAGTAGCCCTGGGTTTACAGTTTGGGGAGGTACTATAACTGTTCACTGGCTGGGAATTCTAAGGACCCCTCCCTAAACTGCAAATCCCAGTATTGCAGAGAATGGAACTATGGCAAATAAAATGGAATCCTAGTACTATCATTTAAAAAGCACATACTTTGTGCTTCCCTTGCATGCCTATGTGTCTCCCCCGGCCTTCCCTTAAAGCAGTGGTTCTCAACCTGTGGGTGTTTTGGCCTACAACTCCCAGAAATCCCAGCTGTTAGAATTTCTGGGGGTTGAAGGCCAAAACATCTGGGGACCCACAGGTTGAGAACCACTGCCTTAAAGTAACTTGGAAATCTCACAACTGCATCCTTATGGACCCTGGTAAACTTGGGAAAGAGCAAGGATCACAGAGCAACTGGGTTTAGAAAAGAAAAGAAAATAGTGCTCCTTCCATCCGAATACTTTACAATAGCAATTGCCTTATATGTTGTATTTATTTATTTATTTATTTGGTACATTTGTATGCCGCCCCTCTCAGCCCGCAGGCAACTCGAGGCAGTTTTTATCGCTCTGTATTTGCCGAAGCAGAGGCACATTATGCACATAACCAAAACATGTCCTCAAATACCTGTGGGTACACACTGCAAAGTCAACAGCTGTGTAATTCTACCATACATCACGGCTGTATCTGCCCTTTGCCCAAGGGGTTGGAAGGAGGGGGAGTGTAACACACCAACAAAGGTGAAGGGAGAAGAATAAATCAGTGGCTCAGAAAGGAGACATGTGCAGCAGGAAGGCTGTGTTCCTTTCCTGAGAGGCAATAATAATAATAATAATAATAATAATAATAATAATAATAATAATAATAATAGTCTTTAATTATACCCCGCCACCATCTCCCCAATGGGGACTCGGAGCGGCTGACACGAGGCCAAGCCCAAGAACACATCAATAAACAAGAAAGCAATAACAAAAAAGAACAACAATACAAACAAAAACAAAAGAAGCGAGGGAGGAGAAGGTGATGGGGGGCACTGCTCCCAGGACAAGTCAGTAGCCCAAATGAGCTCTTCCTTCCTGTCCCAAATTCCTTCCCTTGGTCTTCCCAGGATGCGACACAGGCCACAAGGCCCAGGGACAGATCTCCTAGAGAACTGCTGGTCTGGACAGGCGCGTTGCTCCCCCTTCTTTGCTGTTTGCCTCCCTTCTTCCATGCCTTGGACCTCTCTTCTTTTCTGCCCTTGTCTGCTGAGAATCTAAAAGATAGAGTACACTGCACTTGCTGTTAGGGGCAGGACAAAGTTGTTGGACTGTATCCCCCAGCATTCCTCAATATCGGCTGTGTTGGTAAAGGTCTGGGCCAGGCATGGGCAAACGTTGGTGCTCCGGGTGTCTTGGACATCGACTCCCACCGTTCTTAACAGCCTCAGGCCCTTTTCTTTGTTTCCTTTCCTTTCCGCTTAAGCGGAAAGGAAAGGAAAGAAAGAAAGGGCCTGAGGTTGTTGGGAATGGTGGGAGTCGAAGTCCAAGACACCTTGAGGGCCAACGTTTGCCCATGCCTGGTCTGGAGAATATTGCCCTCCCACCATCACCACCATTGCTAATTTGTGGGAAGGTGCAAGTTGGCACAATTTACCACAGCGGTTCCTCTGTTCTCAGTGGGTGCCCTGTGTCCTTTCAGCCAAACACACCTTTGTTAAGGTTGGCTCGGTGGCGTCATTGCAATGAACTGAGCCCAGCTGTGAAAATGGCCATGTGATTCAGAATGACTTCTGGTGCGCAGGTGGCTCCTTGTCTAGAAACAGTGCCGCAGCTCCCCAACCAGGAATATCCTGGCCGACTCTCCCGCACCACGATAGCTGTGTATGGGGGGCAAAAGCCTTCCTCTTTTGGGGGTGTAACTTAAGCGCACCCGAGGATGAGCTAATTTATGCAATGCCATTATTTCACCTGCTCTTTTGCTTGCCAACCTTGTCCTTTAACAGCTTCCCCGCGAGGCCCATCTACTTAGATGTCAAGCTCAGGTTTTATTTTATGTTTTGTTCCCATGTGCACCACTTTGGATTACTTTTAAATTGCCTCCATTGCCATCCAGATGCCCCGTTCGGAGCTTTGCAAAGTCTGAGCATCTCAGACAGATTTATAAACTTGGCTGCTTCCGTTGCCTCCCCCTGCTTTCCCCTGTGCCCCCCCCATGAACAGAGTAGCACCAACAACCCCTCCACCGCCTGCCCCCAAAGGATCCTGGGTGTATTTAGGTGGAAGAATGTCTACTAGACACAGCATGCATTGAGCACCATCCCACTCTGAACGCACCTGATCTTGCCCGATTTTGGAAGTGGAGCAGGGTTGGGCCTGGTAGTCCTGGGGTGGGAGACCCCCGAGAGGAAAGACTGGGCAGGAGCTAAGAAAGGATCCTGCTTCAGGCCCTGGAGAGGCACCGCTGGCAAGATTGGGCAAGACCCAAGTGCAAAGCAGCCTCCCAATACTCCAGGTATCCTGCCATAATAATAATAATAATAATAATAATAATAATAATAATAATAATACATCACACAGTCCTAAACTCTTGGGAAGTGTTCGACTTGTGATTTTGTGATACAAAATCCAGCATATAGATCTCGTTTGCTGTGACATACTGTGCTTTTGTGTCAGTAAAATAATAATAATAATAATAATAATAATAATTTATTTATACCCCGCCACCATCTCCCCAAGGGGACTAGGGGCGGCTTACATGAGGCCAAGCCCAACAATACATCAGTAAAAACAAAATAGCAAGCAAATAAAACAGTACAATTAATATAACTGAGTATTGTCGAAGGCTTTCATGGCCAGAATAACTGGGTTGTAGTAGGTTTTTTCGGGCTATATGGCCATGTTCGAGAGGCATTTTCTCCTGACGTTTTGCCTGCATCTATGGCAAGCATCCTCAGAGGTAGTCTGACCTCACTACCTCTGAGGATGCTTGCCAAAGATGCAGGAGAAACGTCAGGAGAAAATGCCTCTAGAACATGGCCATATAGCCCGAAAAACCTACCACAACCCAATATAACTGAGGTTTGGGAATGGAGGTTTTATGCCATTCCACCCAGTAGAGTTAATAACAATTGTAATAACAGATAGTTGGGAAACGATACCAACATTGAGCACTGATCTCTCAAAGTGGGCCATTGCAGGGTTCTTAAAGGAGACTAAATTCCCCAGAGGTAGCCTTGATCCCCATTGCCTTTCCCTTTTGCTTTCTGCCTCTCATGCAGGTGTACTGTGTCTTGAGCTGCAACCCCCTCCCATTCAACCCAGTGAGCTCTGAAAAGGCAAGGGGCCATCCATGTCTTTGTGGCTCACCCTTTTCCTTTGATGGCCAAGTACCCTTGAATGCATCAGTTTCTGGGGGTGAAGGCGGGGGGAATAGAATATTCTTATATACATATATATATATAAATACAGCATGCTATTTCGAAAACCCACCACTGCTTTGTATTCCTACAGATCTGACAAAGAGAGTGAAGAAAAATAAGCCTTGTAGGCATGTAGCGGCTAGGGTAAAGCTTCCTCTTTCTATCTAAACTCATCAATTAATTCTGTTTCAGTCCAAAGGTCTCACTGTCCTGGTGTCAGCTTCCGGCTACAGCAGCTTAACCAAAACCTATTTCCTTGTAGGCTTTGTTGCCGTTTCCGTCTCTTCCCAAAGCCGGGCACCAAAAACAGAATGGTAGCTCCGTTCCCAAGCCTTTTAAGAGTGAGGAAGAACTTGAAACACCCACAGAATCAATGAGACTAATCTTGCAAAGGACCTTCATCTCTTCTACTGCAGGCATGGGCAAACCTTGGCCCTCCAAGGGTTTTGGACTACGACTCCCACCATTCCTAACAGCCTCAGGCCCTTTCCTTTTCCCCCTCAGCCGCTTATGCGGCTGAGGGGGAAAAGGAAGGGGCCTGAGGCTGGTAGGAATGGTGGGAGTCAAAGTCCAAAACCTTTGGAGGGCCAACATTTGCCCATGTCTATTCCATAGCGTCCTAGGAATGACAGTGGAGCTCATCCATCATGGCTGGTGAACTGGGAATCAAGAGTCTTTCCAAAGCACTTTGGAAAGGGGGTTGGGGAGAGAGGGGCAGAGAAGGGGGTCTTCCTCTCAGACAAGAATTACTGTATATACTCCAGTACAAGCCTAGTTTTTCAGCCTTTTTTAGGCTGACAAAGTCGCCCTTGGCTTATACTCGAGTCAAGGTTATTTATTATTTTACTCTGTTATTATTTTTACATGTATTACTTTAGCTCTGATTATTTATTAATTTATTTATTTACAGCTTTTATATTCCGCCCTTCTCACCCCGCAGGGGACTCAGGGCGGATTACAGTGTACACATATATGGCAAACATTCAATGCCAATTTTTGACATACAAACATATACAGACATAGACAGAGGCTATTGAACGTTTTCTGGCCGCCAGGGGAGCTGTCACTTTCATCGTCCATCTGTGACACTGATGAAGCACTTCTGCATTCCCCGTATGCTTCCCCGCTGGAGTCTTCTTTATGGCCTCATAAATCAGTTAATTTAGCCTCCCCACACTTTAAGGTGGTACCTTATTTTCCTACTTGACAGATGCAACTGTCTTTCGGGTTGCAAAGGTCGACAACAGGCTACACACAATTGGTTGGAAACCCACTCCAACCCAGGCTGGCTTCGAACT